GGTACAGCTGATCGCTGTATTCTTATGATGGAAGAATTTGACCAGTCACTCTCCAGGCACCTGCGCTCACAGTCTTGAAAACTTTATGCTGACATAAATGATAATAGTCAAACTACAACAAATATGACTTTTAACAAGTCAAAGTCATTTATGATATGTGTATCCATTCTCTGTCCACTAAAGTTTGTTTCAAGGCCTCAATAGCCTTAATTGGACTGTGGTTGCTGTAAATAACATTGAGTTTTGTGAATTCAAAATTTAGAATTATACAATATATTGTGATACATATCGCAATACAGCCTTGTGTATTGTAAAATATTGTGATACACTTAAAACCTCCAATACCCATTCCTATAAAACAGTGGGAGTGTTTTATCTAGCTCAGCTGCTGACAATACCCTAATTTCTTGTGTAAAAACAACTACAGCTGTGAAGTGCAGGGAGGACATAATACATGTATACAATGTCTTTTGATGTTTTTATCATGTTTTAACAATCAAAATAGTACAGCTGTGCGAAGCCTCAAATTGTGACTTGTCAATTGTTCCATAAGTAAAATATACCACAGTGTTTCGCTTATGATTATTATAATAAATACTTAAAGTAAAAGCTGCAACTGAAATATCACAATATTGGAATATATTATTCCTTGTAAAATAATAATTTCAGAATCAATTTCTTGCATCAAAATTCTTCAAAGTTTATATTTTTTAACTGAGAAACTGGTAGATTGGAAACATTATCTGAGTGATGGTTTACATGAAATGAAGAGGCAATTCCTGGATGTACAGAACGGTTGTGTCGCTGTAAAGTAGAATCAAGGAGCCTGGATAGGACAGAGATGCTGACCGGACAGTGCCAAACCCTTGCCAAGGCTGGGAATCATGTCTTGTCTATGTACCAGCCATCCCAGGGAAGTAGATTGTTTTTTATCTATCTACTGGTAAGGTCCTGATGCTAAACATTAGTCTTCCGCATGCATGAACTGTTTTCTTGTTCTTTTGTAATAACATGGCAGATGCCAAAGGTCTGAACACAATCACCAAGACAGCAGACAGAACAACCAAGAGGTTGCACTTAGAGAATGTGCACGGGATCTTAACGTTCTCCAACAGGAAAGATCTCATGAGCCTTTGATGACAGAGTGAGATAGCTTTTCGTGATGGAGAACTGATGTTAAGGCAGAGTGATATTCTTCAATGGTGCTGTGGAGAAACTAAACATTCTGTTGAAAATGAAGAAGGAAATGATCGTGCAGTCTGTGTCTTCAATCTTCCAAATTACTCCTATAGGAGAGACCAAGCGGGGAAGGGCGTATGCTAAGAACCATTTCCAATCCATGGACAGCTTGTCCTCTTGGGGATCTAGCATCAGGGTGACATACACTGAGGACTTGTTTAGTCATGTGTCCCACACCAATGTTATCCATCGACATCCCCACCGAAGGTTGTAGTTGGGCCCATCTGCCTCATCAGTGAGCATCTGTAGCATAACCCAGCTGTCAGACACCCCAGTTGCAACGGGCAGTGGAGTAGAAATGGCTTGTCAAAACATACAAGATTTACCTGTTGTGGTAATGGATCAGTCATAATAGACTAAATATTCAAAATATTTAAGATGAAGTAAATAATGTCCATTGCAGTTGATGTTAATAATTGATCTACTCAGACATAATAGCATTATAGAGTTTTTTCTACCGGTACAGATTTAACTAATGAACCAATTGTTCTCCACAGTTCTCACCTTCTCATAAAATGTTGAGCTTAATTTATATGTTTTCACTAAATGGTGCATATATTGGCAGAGATATCAAACAATAGTTATCATTGTTAATAATTCTAAGATTACTACTCCATTACATCTTTGCCATAAATCCTGTATTTTGGCTTCAGTCACACTAACTAAAATTTTCACATTTTCAACAGACACCCTCTTCACTGTCAATCACACAATTAGTTGTTCCACATATAGCACAATAGCAACCCATGCTATGATGTGCGTAATGGCGGGAATCTCACTTATTTTCCCACATCTAACCACTTGGGGTAGATAAATTGGGGTGGTGGGAGGGAGTACTTCGGATGTAATAGAGGTAGTATTCTTAGAATTATTAACAATGATAACTATTGTTCCATAATTCTTGCAAATCCTCTACCTCTATTACATCTTTGCCAGAATATACTGAAGAGACCCGGAGGATCTGCCTCTAGTAACTCCCTGTGTAATTGACAGTAATCTCTTCTGAAAACCATTATTCACTGATTCTAATCCTGACTCAACGATGGGGCGTGGTGTCTCATTCACTGCGTGTGCAGGCATCAGATGTCCACTGTAGTTTGTGAATCGGACACATTGATGTACAGCGACAGGCGCCTGGTCGAGTGGTTGCAGTGTTCATGCAAGCGATCATGCAAGCCAGTCTGTACAAATACACTGCACAGATCCCATTAGGTCAGTTGACTTGATTACAGTCGAAGACGTTTACAGTCAGAGTTCTTGACACGTGACATGTAATTCGTCCTGCTGAATCGACTATGTTCAAGCTCCACACACGGCCAATCCCCTGTGGTTGACAGACCAGTGGTGTGTCTGAGTTCTGAGTAGGAACTGTGAGGTTGCCAGTGTATGGGCAAGTTGATCCCCATGAAAAGAGTGACGACTGGTCCGGTGTTGTGAACGATGACCCAGTTGAAGGTCTTTAGGTTGATTATCATTCTCATGTCGGTCGTATTCTTTTTCGGAACTAGGAATACCGGAGATGCGTAATTCTAGTAAAATCTAGTTATTTTTTATATTTGTATTCTTATCTTACATTACTCCTGAATGAATTTACTGCTTGTTCTTGACAGAGTGAAAGACCTGTGTGAGGTGATGCTGACAAAAAAGTTGTTCCAACTAGCTGAGTGGCTAACTCTATCACACAGCTCCCATGTGGGATATTGGGGAGGCAGCTCTGTGATGGGTGGGCACTTGAGATAAAGTAATGCAGGATAAGCATACAATTATAAAAAAAATCTAGATTTTACTAGAATTATGCATCTCCAGTGAACACATAATTTCGTAATCTTGTTCTTGTATCCAAGCGCCAGGATGGAACAGTTGCTGTGAAGCCTCATGGTAGAGACGACTGCTCGAATCTCATGAGGGATGAATAGATGGCGGCATTGTCCTTGACAGTCCTTAGAGTGTCAAAAAAACATCGCAGGGCACACACCAGACATAGTAGAAGTTCCTGTTCATCCTCAACCCCCACTATTGAACATAGGGGCAGGATGGTGAAGAATCTGTCTGGCTGTCCTGGGAGTTGAAGTCCCGTTGAAGATGAAATGGAGCAATTTCTGTGTCGCTGGGATGGATCGGCACATGTAAGTAGGCTTCCTGGATATAGGAATCCTAGATGAGACAATAGCTGGATCAGGAAGATATAGTCTATTAGGACACTAAGTAAAATGAAGAGCCAAACTTATTATAGTGTGAAAACTACCAATTCATGTACAATGACAATTTAGAAAAAGTTTTTGAAATTGACAGAAGCACACACAGGAAAGTAGTGAAGACTTCCTGGCTGCTCATGCACAGGTTTAGGAAAATAAATACTATTAGTATCTCAACTGGTTAGGGATACTTGACAGCGAAGAGGATTGCTGTTAAAAATATAAAGATTTCATAGTTGAATGACAGCTGAAATACAGGATTTTTTGCAATGATGTAATTAAGGTTTTATATTCAAAAGTATTACTTCAATTGTACTTGTTCACTGAACACACAGCTATTTCCAAAGAACTGACTTTCCTTCCATCCTCCTATTGGTAGTGAACACAGATTCAATAACTAAATACCATACAGTTTATATGGGAGTGTGTTCTCCAATCTAATTGCTTGAAAATCATTGTTGAATGGTGATTGGATCCAGAAATCTTTTCATGTGAGTTCTTTTCTTAATAAGTATCATTCGATCCCAAATCCCAAATTTGAAGAAATACTACATTAATTAAGTATTAAGTTTTTCAACATTCTGCTAGTCGGGCAGGTTCAGTTCATGGAAGCATAAGGCATTGTGTCATGATGTCAGATCATTCCAGAGAGACGTCATGTCTGCCTCATCTGTGAGAGTTCACAGTGAGAAAGAGTGAGTGATGGAAAATTACTGACAACATTTGTATCATGTCAATAACCAGATGTTGGTTTGAAATGAAATTTCCAGGCAACACATATTCAATAACACCAGGAAATCGGAAAATACATGATGTTCCTCTCCTAAATATACCCATAGAGTTTGTAAAACCCCATTAGAGGTGACATAGACTTATTTCTGTCATCAAGCTCAGTCGAGCCCACCAGTATATATCATGGGAGGTCAACAAGCTTTAGAAAACAATAGATGATGACACCGGAGGTTACTAAGGTGGATCACATGACACTTGTGTAGATTATCTACATAACACATTTCTTTCATATTATGAACATAGAACTCTAATGTTTTCAGTCTGATTGAAATACGATACCCTTCAGACATTCATTTGTAACAGGTGAAAGAATTAGTGTCTGTGTCCATGGATGTCCTGAACGTTTGGCTAATGCAGTGGTGCTGATACCAATTCATTCCCAGCGATAGAAAATAACCATTTTTGTCCACTAGTTTGTTTGTTGTTCTACTAGTCTTTATGATATCTTAACTATTGGGCAATTTGGTGAGTACTATGGGACTATTGCCAATTTCTACCGCTGATTTCCTACAGACCTGTGAAGATAATAGGTCTAGAATAGGTCTTCAGCATCCCTTTCTGCCATAAAATGCGACTATGCTTGTCGTAAGAGGCCACACACGGGATCAGGTGGTCAGCTGACTTGGTTGATTCATGTCATAATATCCCAATTGCGTGGATCGATGCTCATGATGTCAATCACTGGTCCAGACCACCATCATATAGCTGGAATATTGCCGAGTTCAGCATAAACAACAAACAATGAAACTACAAGGATCCCGTCATACTATTTACCTATTGCTTCCTCTGGTATGAGATCCACTTGGTCTGTGTACAGGTACTGGAGGAAGGCACGGTACACACTGTATGGATACTGGGTGATCTCAATGGTGCTGAATTGGGAAACACATATGATTCTATGATACAAGTAAACACCTGTAGATCACTCCTTTTTTCTGGAACATCATATCAAATCATCAATAACATACAATAAAAAATACATTGATAAAAGAATCTCACTGAAGTGAGCAAGTGAATAGGTTGTTATGATGCTATTAGCAATATTCCCACAATATCACGGCAGAAGACACCAGAATTAGGTAGCTATTTGGTGATTGAGCCTGGGTCTAAGTGTGATGAGTGAACGAGTGAAGTTGTGTCAAATATAAAAATTCTTTATTAAAAGGCTAACTGCATCTCCGAACAATAATGCATTTGTAGTCAACAGTATAAGGGGGGTGGGGGTCAATGATGTTAGCTTTCATTTAGAAATAAAGTTTGCTCTACCCACCGTGTGTAGTGTAATAAAGAATAGTTTTGCCCGGAACTATTATATTTAAAAGCATGGGGATCCTTTCTTTTCTAAGATGCTGAAATAACGACTAGCCTTATGGCTTTTTTTAGCTGGGTTCCAAATCCAATCCGTAATGACCTGTGATCTTAATTGTAAACCCTGGGACAGGGCGAACTGACAGGCTCTTCCACCTAATTGCCTGCACCCTTATCTTTAGGGATATATTTACATTTTGAACATAATACAACACCACTAAAATGGGTAGTTTGTTATTTAAATATGTCACATTTCATTATCCGTTTACTGTGCGGTTATCCATGAGCCCGTTCAGCAATAAGTAGGAATTCTAAATTTAAGTTTTTATATTAATTTGTTTTAAATTAATCATGTGACTCAAAACATTTCACAAGTGCATTGTGGGGCCGAGCTGAGCTAAGAAATGTAAACAAAGCCAGTCGTAGTTCAGTGTCACTGGTTATTGTGAGTTGAGGTGTATTCTTGTCGTACTAGTTGCAACTTTCTGCCACTAATATTAGAAAACAGCAGCAACTGCAATTAAAGCCATGAAATAGTGTGGTTACTGAGCTGGTTGCGATGATACCTTAACCAGCATGAATCAACCCCTGGGGCATGATATGGCATTGCCGTGGGACGAACATTTCAGAGAAAGGGAAATATAGCGGCCGTTTTGCTTGACTGCAGTATGTTGCTAAATGCTGTATGCTGAGCAAGAGGTGTACATGTGGTTATGAAAGATTTCAAGGATTGCTATTTCCTTTGCAGTAGACTGCTGTTGACCCATTCCTTTGTCCAAAGACAAACATAATTTGGAGGCACCAGTGCCCACCTCAGACAACTTTGTGACTGTTGTGGCATGGACACAATGGTTTGAATATGTTTGTGATAAGCCTGCAGCATGAGAGATGGTTGACATCATCTTGCCATATTTCTTCCAATGTCATAATATACAAGATTAAAGAAACTATTTCACCCAAAATTGATGTGAATGCGCCATCTCTCTTGACTGTAATGAAAGAACAATGTTACCAAGGATATGTTAGATCACGGGGGACGTACTTTGAACAGTGCCATGACGTCTGTCAATTAACACAGCATAAAGTACAGTTGGCACCTTTGATGTTTCAGCAAAAGATCTTAGAAATTTTAAATGCAAAAGATGGAACATATGTGTTGAGCCCCATGTATCAAGTTTCATGATCTGTTCCTGACTGTAGTTCTGTTCTGATCTACACAACACATGTATCAAGTTTCATGATCTGTTCCTGACTGTAGTTCCGTTCTGATCTACACAACACATGTACCAAGTGTCATGATATGTTCCTGACTGTAGTTCCGTTCTGATCTACACAACACATGTATCAAGTTTCATGATCTGTTCCTGACTGTAGTTCCGTTCTGATCTACACAACACATGTACCAAGTGTCATGATCTGTTCCTGACTGTAGTCCCGTTCTGATCTACACAACACATGTACCAAGTGTCATGATCTGTTCCTGACTGTAGTTCCGTTCTGATCTACACAACACATGTACCAAGTTTTATGATCTGTTCCTGACTGTAGTTCCGTTCTGATCTACACAACACATGTACCAAGTGTCATGATCTGTTCCTGACTGTAGTCCCGTTCTGATCTACACAACACATGTACCAAGTGTCATGATATGTTCCTGACTGTAGTTCCGTTCTGATCTACACAACACATGTACCAAGTGTCATGATCTGTTCCTGACTGTAGTTCCGTTCTGATCTACACAACACATGTACCAAGTGTCATGATCTGTTCCTGACTGTAGTTCTGTTCTGATCTACACAACACATGTACCAAGTGTCATGATCTGTTCCTGACTGTAGTTCTGTTCTGATCTACACAACACATGTACCAAGTGTCATGATCTGTTCCTGACTGTAGTTCCGTTCTGATCTACACAACACATGTACCAAGTTTCATGATATGTTCCTGACTGTAGTTCTGTTCTGATCTACACAACACATGTACCAAGTGTCATGATCTGTTCCTGACTGTAGTTCTGTTCTGATCTACACAACACATGTACCAAGTGTCATGATATGTTCCTGACTGTAGTTCTGTTCTGATCTACACAACACATGTACCAAGTGTCATGATCTGTTCCTGACTGTAGTTCCATTCTGATCTACACAACACATGTACCAAGTGTCATGATATGTTCCTGACTGTAGTCCCGTTCTGATCTACACAACACATGTACCAAGTGTCATGATATGTTCCTGACTGTAGTTCCGTTCTGATCTACACAACACATGTACCAAGTGTCATGATCTGTTCCTGACTGTAGTTCCGTTCTGATCTACACAACACATGTACCAAGTTTTATGATCTGTTCCTGACTGTAGTTCCGTTCTGATCTACACAACACATGTACCAAGTGTCATGATCTGTTCCTGACTGTAGTTCTGTTCTGATCTACACAACACATGTATCAAGTGTCATGATCTGTTCCTGACTGTAGTTCCATTCTGATCTACACAACACATGTACCAAGTGTCATGATATGTTCCTGACTGTAGTTCCGTTCTGATCTACACAACACATGTACCAAGTTTCATGATATGTTCCTGACTGTAGTTCTGTTCTGATCTACACAACACATGTACCAAGTGTCATGATCTGTTCCTGACTGTAGTTCCATTCTGATCTACACAACACATGTACCAAGTGTCATGATATGTTCCTGACTGTAGTCCCGTTCTGATCTACACAACACATGTACCAAGTGTCATGATATGTTCCTGACTGTAGTTCCGTTCTGATCTACACAACACATGTACCAAGTGTCATGATCTGTTCCTGACTGTAGTTCCGTTCTGATCTACACAACACATGTACCAAGTTTTATGATCTGTTCCTGACTGTAGTTCCGTTCTGATCTACACAACACATGTACCAAGTTTCATGATCTGTTCCTGACTGTAGTTCCATTCTGATCTACACAACACATGTACCCAGTGTCATGATCTGTTCCTGACTGTAGTTCCGTTCTGATCTACACAACACATGTATCAAGTTTCATGATCTGTTCCTGACTGTAGTTCTGTTCTGATCTACACAACACATGTACCAAGTGTCATGATATGTTCCTGACTGTAGTTCCGTTCTGATCTACACAACACATGTACCAAGTGTCATGATCTGTTCCTGACTGTAGTTCCGTTCTGATCTACACAACACATGTACCAAGTTTTATGATCTGTTCCTGACTGTAGTTCCGTTCTGATCTACACAACACATGTACCAAGTGTCATGATCTGTTCCTGACTGTAGTTCCGTTCTGATCTACACAACACATGTACCAAGTGTCATGATCTGTTCCTGACTGTAGTTCCGTTCTGATCTACACAACACATGTATCAAGTTTCATGATCTGTTCCTGACTGTAGTTCCGTTCTGATCTACGCAACACATGTACCAAGTTTCATGATCTGTTCCTGACTGTAGTTCCATTCTGATCTACACAACACATGTACCAAGTGTCATGATCTGTTCCTGACTGTAGTTCCGTTCTGATCTACACAACACATGTATCAAGTTTCATGATCTGTTCCTGACTGTAGTTCTGTTCTGATCTACACAACACATGTATCAAGTTTCATGATCTGTTCCTGACTGCAGTTCTGTTCTGATCTACACAACACATGTACCAAGTGTCATGATATGTTCCTGACTGTAGTTCCGTTCTGATCTACACAACACATGTACCAAGTTTCATGATATGTTCCTGACTGTAGTTCCGTTCTGATCTACACAACACATGTACCAAGTTTCATGATATGTTCCTGACTGTAGTTCCGTTCTGATCTACACAACACATGTACCAAGTGTCATGATCTGTTCCTGACTGTAGTTCCGTTCTGATCTACACAACACATGTATCAAGTTTCATGATATGTTCCTGACTGTAGTTCCGTTCTGATCTACAAAACATCAAACCCTCCCACATGAAGGTTGTCTAGGGGAATTAGTCAACAAAAGAGCCAAGTCACAGGAGACTAATTACAAGTTTATTACAAGAGACAAAATAACAATATCTTAATTATAGCTGGGTATGTAACACAGAGTCAAGGCTCTTGGCTGCGGGTGAGAGCTATCCTTGGTTGGAGAGTTAAACCCCTACGTCTAACATCTTCGTTCTCTATCTATTTATCTTATATTTAAATAATACAAAGAATATGATTTGCAATTGATACATAATAGGGTGTACAATTAACGAATAGCTAGACAGAGGGGACGAGGGCCATTCGCAATCTCATTAAAATCAGATCTTAGTTCTCACTACCGCTAAACAAAGATCCGAGGACATCACATTTGGGATCACGTCAGAACGACCTTTCATCTGACCAATCAGATCATCGCTTACTAGATCATGAAAGTGACAGTCGGAATGTGATTTCTAATCATGCAGTCTCGAAAATTTTAACACAGGGTATTCCAAACGATAATTACGGGCTTCACGACTGGATCCATACAATCTAGACCATCTATTAGCCATTCCATAATGTTCTTTTGTTCAGGTTTAAATTTTTAATCCAGAATTTGCCAA